TTTTTTTTTTTGCTTTCGGGCAGCGGTGGCCTCTCGGACGCACACACACACCACAGCCGGATAGCACAATTTTTTTTGCCCCGCGTTTTCAGACGATCGTTATTCTACACAGAAAAAAAAACACCAGCTATCGGCGGTTGTCCGGTCGGACCGGCGGCGCTCGGGACGACTATATGAATTATTCGTTCTCATATTATATAAAATATCATAATTATAAATAGGTGCTGTGCAAAACACAATACATATTATATATATATAATTATATATTTGTTTAAAATATATTATCATATAAATATAAAATATGTACGTTTGTACACATTACACATTACACGATAAAATATATTAYAGTGTACAATAAAAAAAAATAGAAAAAAATATTTTATCTAAAATTATTATTGATATTATTTCATATTTTAGCGCCAAAGCAGCAGCAGCAGCAGCCGATCGTGGACGAAAGATTTTTGTCGAAGTAGCCAACAAATTGTTGCCTGAACGCGCGATRTGGGTAGAGCAAAACCACAACGACTATAACATTCTCCGACAACAACACGCACGACCCGCAACTATACTATATATATATATAATATATTTTATTAATATATATATAATACAGCAGGYACACCAATATATTATATTATTATCATTATTATTATTAGTAGTACTACATATTTTATAATATGCAGGCCGAGTGTGGTGGTGGTGACGGCGCAGCGGCGGTGTAGGTTTGGCGAAGCGTTTTTCCATATTGATTATAATTTCRGTTGTTTTTGTCTTATCGTTTTTCGATTTTTAATCCTTCTGAAAAATACAATTATACACACACACACACACCCACACATACCCACCCACACAGACACACATACACAAATAATAATAATCGGGCGTGCGCGTGTGACGGGAGATTATTGCCATCAGTCGCGATCTCGCTGTCCGGAGGCCATCTTCCACATCTTTTCCTGAGTAGAATGAGGTTAAGTTCTGCAATCAAGACGACGATGACGACGACTCTTCCGGTTGTACCGATGTGATAATATGTTATCATAATATTATATTATGTATTATGTTTATCGAGTATTTACCACCGTGTTATTATTATATATATACTCACAGATATCTGTTTTTATTATTATTATTATATACATACAATACCTATATACATTATACACATAATATCGTTGTTTGTATGGACAAAATATATTATTATTATTATATATATACTCACAGATATCTGTTTTTATTATTATTATTATATACATACAATACCTATATACATTATACACATAATATCGTTGTTTGTATGGACAAAATATATTATTATTATTATATATATACTCACAGATATCTGTTTTTATTATTATTATTATATACATACAATACCTATATACATTATACACATAATATCGTTGTTTGTATGGACAAAATATATTATTATTATTATATATATACTCACAGATATCTGTTTTTATTATTATTATTATATACATACAATACCTATATACATTATACACATAATATCGTTGTTTGTATGGACAAAATATATTATTATTATTATATATATACTCACAGATATCTGTTTTTATTATTATTATTATATACATACAATACCTATATACATTATACACATAATATCGTTGTTTGTATGGACAAAATATATTATTATTATTATATATATACTCACAGATATCTGTTTTTATTATTATTATTATATACATACAATACCTATATACATTATACACATAATATCGTTGTTTGTATGGACAAAATATATTATTATTATTATATATATACTCACAGATATCTGTTTTTATTATTATTATTATATACATACAATACCTATATACATTATACACATAATATCGTTGTTTGTATGGACAAAATATATTATTATTATTATATATATACTCACAGATATCTGTTTTTATTATTATTATTATATACATACAATACCTATATACATTATACACATAATATCGTTGTTTGTATGGACAAAATATATTATTATTATTATATATATACTCACAGATATCTGTTTTTATTATTATTATTATATACATACAATACCTATATACATTATACACATAATATCGTTGTTTGTATGGACAAAATATATTATTATTATTATATATATACTCACAGATATCTGTTTTTATTATTATTATTATATACATACAATACCTATATACATTATACACATAATATCGTTGTTTGTATGGACAAAATATATTATTATTATTATATATATACTCACAGATATCTGTTTTTATTATTATTATTATATACATACAATACCTATATACATTATACACATAATATCGTTGTTTGTATGGACAAAATATATTATTATTATTATATATATACTCACAGATATCTGTTTTTATTATTATTATTATATACATACAATACCTATATACATTATACACATAATATCGTTGTTTGTATGGACAAAATATATTATTATTATTATATATATACTCACAGATATCTGTTTTTATTATTATTATTATATACATACAATACCTATATACATTATACACATAATATCGTTGTTTGTATGGACAAAATATATTATTATTATTATATATATACTCACAGATATCTGTTTTTATTATTATTATTATATACATACAATACCTATATACATTATACACATAATATCGTTGTTTGTATGGACAAAATATATTATTATTATTATATATATACTCACAGATATCTGTTTTTATTATTATTATTATATACATACAATACCTATATACATTATACACATAATATCGTTGTTTGTATGGACAAAATATATTATTATTATTATATATATACTCACAGATATCTGTTTTTATTATTATTATTATATACATACAATACCTATATACATTATACACATAATATCGTTGTTTGTATGGACAAAATATATTATTATTATTATATATATACTCACAGATATCTGTTTTTATTATTATTATTATATACATACAATACCTATATACATTATACACATAATATCGTTGTTTGTATGGACAAAATATATTATTATTATTATATATATACTCACAGATATCTGTTTTTATTATTATTATTATATACATACAATACCTATATACATTATACACATAATATCGTTGTTTGTATGGACAAAATATATTATTATTATTATATATATACTCACAGATATCTGTTTTTATTATTATTATTATATACATACAATACCTATATACATTATACACATAATATCGTTGTTTGTATGGACAAAATATATTATTATTATTATATATATACTCACAGATATCTGTTTTTATTATTATTATTATATACATACAATACCTATATACATTATACACATAATATCGTTGTTTGTATGGACAAAATATATTATTATTATTATATATATACTCACAGATATCTGTTTTTATTATTATTATTATATACATACAATACCTATATACATTATACACATAATATCGTTGTTTGTATGGACAAAATATATTATTATTATTATATATATACTCACAGATATCTGTTTTTATTATTATTATTATATACATACAATACCTATATACATTATACACATAATATCGTTGTTTGTATGGACAAAATATATTATTATTATTATATATATACTCACAGATATCTGTTTTTATTATTATTATTATATACATACAATACCTATATACATTATACACATAATATCGTTGTTTGTATGGACAAAATATATTATTATTATTATATATATACTCACAGATATCTGTTTTTATTATTATTATTATATACATACAATACCTATATACATTATACACATAATATCGTTGTTTGTATGGACAAAATATATTATTATTATTATATATATACTCACAGATATCTGTTTTTATTATTATTATTATATACATACAATACCTATATACATTATACACATAATATCGTTGTTTGTATGGACAAAATATATTATTATTATTATATATATACTCACAGATATCTGTTTTTATTATTATTATTATATACATACAATACCTATATACATTATACACATAATATCGTTGTTTGTATGGACAAAATATATTATTATTATTATATATATACTCACAGATATCTGTTTTTATTATTATTATTATATACATACAATACCTATATACATTATACACATAATATCGTTGTTTGTATGGACAAAATATATTATTATTATTATATATATACTCACAGATATCTGTTTTTATTATTATTATTATATACATACAATACCTATATACATTATACACATAATATCGTTGTTTGTATGGACAAAATATATTATTATTATTATATATATACTCACAGATATCTGTTTTTATTATTATTATTATATACATACAATACCTATATACATTATACACATAATATCGTTGTTTGTATGGACAAAATATATTATTATTATTATATATATACTCACAGATATCTGTTTTTATTATTATTATTATATACATACAATACCTATATACATTATACACATAATATCGTTGTTTGTATGGACAAAATATATTATTATTATTATTAGGTATTTTATGTCGTTATTCACTATTCTATATATAGAACATAATATATATAGGTACGTTTTGCACTGTCAACGGAAGTGCGCAACGATAATGCGACGATTTTTTTAGAAAAAAAAAAATAATAGTAAATAAATAGAAAGTAGAATGATCCTAATACCAACAGGATCGGAGTGTCCAGCACTAGCACATACCTTAGGGCCGATAGGATTTGCGTGCACCATCGTTTCCACGCTGTCAGTGAAATCTTCTTCACGTTGCGTTTGGTACGCTTTAGGAACTGTTTCAACGAGCCAGAAGACATGTATTCTGTGATGAATATGACCTGCGCAAACACACAACAGACGCAAACGTCGAGGTTAACAGCTGATGACTACGTCGCGTAAAAGCAATATTCAATAATAATAAATTATGGTGCACAAGGTGATTTTGTGGGCACTTATTTTTTTTCCGCGACCAAAAGATATTTATGTGATATATACATATATATGCAGCCGTGACGCAGACATCGCTACGTCTTGTTCAGTGGTGTAATTTGGTTATGTTTGCGGGTGAGATGAAATGTTTATTAGACTTTTTACCCATTAACCCCCCCCCCAGGAAAAAAATTGTATTTATCATGAGCATCTCCTTTCAATGCAATCAATATAAGTGACACGGAAACAAATGATTATTAAAGAATATTCATATTACAAATAGATACCTATTAATCTATTATATTTTAATACTTTGYACAGTTGGCATATAAGGGGATTCAGTTTTTTCTATTCACTACATTAATTATTAAGGATAGGTATCATACAATAATATTTATGGCCAAAACAYTATAAATATAACATRCAAATAACACAACATCGAACCAATAWTCTGTTAGTTATAATTAATAATTTATATAAGCATTTAATGCATCAGCAATTTAGACAACGACTTGCCACCCAGTATTTGTTTCAAGGGTGTCCAACCTTTTTAAAAAATACACGAACTGACTGAAGGTTAACATAAAAAGAAAATAATATTGTATTGAGCATCTATTATTATTTATTACACGTCAATATGAATAAAATCACGTAGTTTGGTATAGCATTGCAGACTGACAATAAGCTGCAGTGTTAAATAGTAAAAAAAAATTTTTTTTTAACACGGGAAATTCAGCTGAAACTTACGCATTAACCAAATTCTATGGTAGGTAGGTATATCATTGTAGTTTTTTTTTTTAATTTATGGGAGAGAGAGGGGCGATTTTCGATCATATATTTTATACTATAGTAATTACACGTGGTTTGTCATTGTGCGTGTCCGTCCAGTATCGATGGAAGTTGACGATGTTGGGATGCTGGAGTTGAGTGAGACTTTCGAACACTTGTCGGATCTTGTCCTCTTGGGCTTTGTAGTTTTTTCGCTCCGAGAACTGCACCTCGTTCCACACCACCTCCACGCCTTCCTCGGTGTCCATGGCCAAGTACGCGCAGTCGATTCCGGGAACATCTCGTTGCTCCACCTACGAGACAAAGAAAAAAAACAAAAAATACCCGCGTTAATTAGTATATATTATGATACTGTCATGATTCTATATGGATACAGACACATCGTGCTTATTATGATGTCATTAAACGTTTCCTATGTAATTATATTACATTGTGCAAT